GGCGGGAGGCGCGGCTGCGGGGCCACTGCTCATTGATGAGATCAGCACAAGCGTCCAAGAGCTCAGGTCGGTAGTGCACAGGCTCCAGGGTCAACTCAGCAAGGTTGGGAGCTGGGGTCTCCGCTGCCCAGTGTTCATGATTCCGGGCGAGTTCAGACGGGCCAGGTCTGAGGGTCGTCTCTGGATGGCATGTGGAATCCAGGGTCAGCTTGGCGAGCCCGAGGCTCAGGGTCAGCTCTGGCTGGCATGCGGGATCCAGGATTAGCTTGGTCAGGTTGGATCTCTGGGTCACCTCTGGCTGGCATGCAGGATCCTGAGTCAGCTCGGCTGGGCTGGTACTCAGGATCAGATCCACCTGGTACTCTAGGGCAGGGTCAGTTTGGCCGGGCCAGGGCTCAGAGTCGGCTCTCACCTACATGTAGGATCCAGGCTCAGCCGAGTCACGCTGGAGGTTAAGGCCACCGTGTCTAGGCAGTGGCATCTCAGACCACAAGGCTTTCCTCCTGAAGATAACAGCCATGCTGGGCTGAGCAGGACAGACACAGCTGGGGCAGGGAGGGGCTGACAGAGTGCAGGGGGCACACACCTTGGAACTGGGGAGTGGTGGGTTGCACCTTGTCTCACATTCACCCGATTGCACAGGTGACCCAGAAGAGACCCACCCCCTACCCCTGAATGGCTGAAGTGGAGGCCAGGACACATGGACCCAGGTGTCTTGCCCACATTGCAGGGAAGTGGAAGGCTGGGGCAGAACCCAGAAGTCCGGGGCCCAGCCTGCTCTGCCTATAAGTTTGTCCTCCCCAGGGCCTCTCTGCACAGGGACAGCTGGCTCAGCCTACTCACTGACCCTGTCTCCAGCAGTCCGCCACCATGCTGGCTGGCAGCAGAAAGGAGGAGCCAAGCAGACACCATACACCTGCTTAAACCAAGGCTCCCTTTGAAGGAAACACAGCCCCAGGACCTCCCCTGCCCCTTCCTTTTCCCCACATTCCAGCTCTCTTCCACCTCCCAGTTTTTTCAACACCCCCTAGTCCATGCCCACTACCTAGCTGATCCTGGGGCCCTGCTCACCCACCCCTTGACTTTTGTCCTGTTGATTGGACCCCTGCCTGGGACACAGAGCCCGTAGTGCATCCCATCAGCTCCCTCAGGACTTTGGGCAAGGACCCAGTGGTGCCCTCAGAGGGGCCCCAGCAGCACCAGCACAGGGCCTGGCTCACTGTCAAATGGCCGTGAGCCCCTGCAGGCCTGGTTCCCCCCTGGCCTGAGTTTTGTAGCCACCCTAGATAAAGACCACAGCTTCCTTCCTATATCCAACGGCTGGCCACTGGTTGGGGGCCCAGATCTACCGTGCCCAAACCCCGCTGTTTGACCACCTTACCATCCTGCTGGCAGCAGGGTCTATGTTGGGGGGATTCCTACAGTGGGCTGGCAGCTGGGGCCCACCCCTCCACTCACCTGCTCCAGAGGGGGCCTCCTGGCTCCCCTTCCACACCTCTCCTGGGCTCGAGGCTAATTCACTACTGGTCAGAGACAGGCAGCCCCCTCCCCTCACACCACGACCCACTCACAAGGCTGTAAGGCCCTCACCTGCAACAGCCACCTCTGCAGCAGAGGGCACCCCTCATCCAGGGAAGAAGCCCCAGGACCCGCCCCTAGACCTGGAGTCCCCAGGCTTCCTGGCCAGCTTAACCCCTTCAGTGCCAACCCTGCCCACTGTGGGCGGAACGCAGCTGGGTGTCCTCAGAGAGGGGCGACTCTGTGTCTCCTGGGCCTTGGTCTCCCCCTCCCTTCTAGTAAATCACAGACCATGGCGCTTTTGGGGATGGGGGCTTCAAGAGCTTGAGTGGGTGGGTGTGGCTCGGCAAGCTCAGGGAGGTAACGACCAAGGCAGGGAGGGCGCGAGAGGCGAACTGGCCATCTGGGAACCGCACGGAGAGGCAGCGCGTGGGGAGGGCGCGGTACTGACATGCTGATGCCGGGCTCTGGGATGTTCTGCGTCCTCGTTCCACTCGGCTCGGTATCTCGCTCTGTGTCTGGCTCGGACTCCGCGGTCAGCACACGATGGTCCCTAGCGGTGTGGCGGACGCACTGCATCCGCCGCGGCTCGAGGCGCACCATCAGATCCTAGGTCTCCCGAGGCAGGCAAGCCCCGCCCCCGCCCCCGCGCGGCACCACCTA